AGCCCCGCATTGGGCTCTCTGTTCAACAGGGAGCATGCTTCTCTCTCTCCCTTTGCCTACCACTCCACCTGCTTGTGCTCTTTCTCTCTCTCTCTCTCACACACACAAATAAATAAAATCTTTAAAACAAACAAACAAAAAAAGAAGTTACCAAGGGCTGCAGAGGAAAGAATGGGGAGGTATTGTCTAGTGTGTACAGAATTTCTGTTTGGGATGATTAAAAATTCAGGAAATGGATAGTTGCATCACATTACACCACTGTAAATGTACATGACACCACTGAATTATACCCTAAAAATGGTTAAAATGGTAGTACCTGAGTGACTCAGTCAGTTAAGCATCCAACTCTTGATTTTGGCTTAGGTCATGATCCCAGGGTCATGGGATTGAGCCTCCCCACCCCAGAGTCGGGCTCTGTGCTCAGTGCAGAGCCTGCTTGAGATTCTCTCTCTCCCTCTGCCCCTCCCCCTCCTTTACATGCACTCTCTCTCTAAGTACATAAATAAAATATTTTTTTAAATGGTATATTTTATATAATGTATGTTTTGCCATAAGAAAAGAAAAAAAACTTGATTTGAATTTTTATTATACAAAATTTCAAGAATATACAAAAATTAAAAGAAAAGGGGCACCTGGGTGGCTCAGTAGTTAAGTGTTGGCTCAGGTTATGATCCCAGAGTCCTGGGATGAAGCCCCACATCAGGATCCCTGCTTAGCAGGGAGCCTGCTTCTCCTTCTCTTACTCTCCCTGCTTGTGTTCCCTCTCTCGCTGTCTCTCTCTGTCAAATAAATAAAAATCTTTAAAAAAAAAGTTAAGAGAAAAATATAATGAACCTCCATGTACCCATTGAGAGTTTCATCAATTATCAACTCCTGGCCAAACTTCTACCCTTTCTTATACCCTTCCCCCACCACACACACACTGGATTATTTTGCAGCAAATTCCAGACATTAGATCATTTCATCAACAAATATTTTAGATTGTTCTTCTAAAATAACTTATTTATTTACCAAGAAATTCCTAGTCTTCCCTCAAAACCCAGCTTAGATGCCATCTCCTCTGTAAAGCCTTTCTTCATGTCTCCTGGAGCTAGCAAGACCCATTTCCCTTCTGTGTAACTATGACTCCTTGCCCCTCCCTCTACAACAGGGTTTCTCAACACTGGTACTATTGATATTTTGAGACAGATAATCCTTTGATGTGGGGCTCTCTTGTACATTATAGGATGCTTTGTAGCTTCCATGACCTCTACTTCTAGATACAAGTAGCACCCCCTTCCCCTTTGTGACAACCAAAAATGTTTCCACACATTGCCGAAAGTCCTGTGGGGGCAACATTGTCCCCAGTGAGAACAACTTCTTCAGAACTGCCCTTAAGGACTATATCGCCTATGTTTGTTATATCTTCACTTCTAGACTGTGAAATCCTAAAGAACATAGAGAGATTCTCCTTCTCTTAAGGTAGCCAGTGTCTGATTCCTTTTTTTTTTTTTTAAGATTTATTTATTTATTTGAGAGAGAGAGAGAGGGAGAGAGAAAGTGGAGGGGGAGGTATAAGGAGAGGGAGAGAGAGAGAATCCCAAGCAGACTGTGTAATGAGCATGGAGCCCAACACCAGGGCTCGATCTCACCACCCTGAGATCATGACCCAAGATGAAACCAAGAGTCTGATGCTTAACCGACTGTGTCATCCAGGTGCCCTGCCGGTGTCATATTCTTCCTGGGAACTTCATAGGAAGAAAGCTGGGAGGCCATGTGAATTTTGACAGATATTCACAGAACTTCACAAAAATCTGAGGTCATTAGGTCCAGCCTTCCATTCAGTGCCTTAGTTACATCTATAATATCTCAGTCCATTATTCTTCCAGCCTCTGTCAAGAAGTCAGGTTATTGGGATTCATCTTCCTGCAGAGGGGCTCATTTTGTTAAAATTCTTATGGTGAGTGGAAGCTTGCTCACTCTGTTACTTTAGGCATTGTCTTAACTCTGCCCTCTGAAATCTTATAAAATGAGCCTAATTTCAGTCAGTTTCATATGACAGCCCTTCGGGTATGTGAAGACCACCATTATATTCATTCATTAAATCATTCAAAAATACACATACTTGAACAAGAGAAAAGCCTCGCTTCCTTGAAACCTCCCCCAAAATCACCTGAATGCTTTAACGTCCTTCTTAACATTCTTTAACTGAGCCACTCCATGGCTCCCCCTAGTGTACATTCTCCCTCATTGCAACAGCCAAAAACCCAACTTGTCCAACTAATGGTGTGTTCCTCATGGTCTTTGACTGGAAGACATTGACAGATGGAACACCTAATATGAGCCAGGCACTGGGAATACAGCAATGAATGAAAACAGACAAAAAACCCTCTGCCCCTCATAGAGCTTACATGGAGGTAAAGAATGAGTCATGTATGTAAGTATAAATACATTGTGTGCTGGGGTAAGTGCCATGAGCAAAAGTAATTGGTGGGGGGGTGGTACTGTGTGTTAGAATCTTAATTAATTAATCAAGTAATTAAATATAAAGATATTACAATAAATAATTTAATAAAATAAATTTATTTAAATTATTTATTATATTTTATTTGTTTGTTTATGTTAGAATTTTTAAGTTGCTTAGCCAGGGACAGCCTTAGTAAGATGATATTTTGAGATCTGAAGGAAAGAAAGCATGGGCCATGCAGCTATTTCAGAATGTTCCCAGCAGGGGGAACAGCAAATGTAGAGGCCCTAGGAAACAGCAAGGAGAAGTCCTGTGGCTGGAGGCAGTGATCAGAGAGCAACAGTAAATAGGAGGCAGAGAGTAAGCCGAGGTTCAAGGAGAGAAGAACGAGCATACAGCACCTTGTAGACCACTATAGGGGACTTCTGCTTTCACTCTGAGATGGAAAATTGCTGGGAAATACAGAGTAGAAAAATGATACGATCTTACTTACATTTGAATGAAAAAAAAGAAAAAGAAAAACCCACCTCTAGCTGCTGTGTTGAGGAGTGACTGGGTGAGGGGTGGGGCAAGCGGGGAGACCAGGCACTTGGTATAACCCAGTGAGAGAAGGTCAGGACTGAGCTCAGGGCACTCCAGTGTTTAGAAGTTGGGGAATGGAGAATAAATAAGCTAATCACATCCAGAGGAATCCAGAAACCCCAAAGAATGCATTTGAAAGAGGGAATGATCAAATGTCAAATGTTCCTAAGAGACAAGATGAGGATGAGAATTGACTATTAGATTTTACAGTATCTTCCCTGGGACTTTTCTTTTCATGAGAATATCTCATTCCATTATCCCACTGCTTTTTTGGGTAAAATATCAATTTTTTTTAAAGATTTTATTTATTTATTTGACAGAGAGAGATCACAAGTAGACGGAGAGGCAGGCAGAGAGAGAGAGAGAGGAGGAAGCAGGCTTCTTACTGAGCAGAGAGCCCGATGTAGGACTCGATCCTAGGACCCTGAGATCATGACCTGAGCCGAAGGCAGCGGCTTAACCCACTGAGCCACCCAGGTGCCCTCAATTTTTTTTTTTTTTAAAGTAAGCTCTACACGCAGCATGGGGCCTGAACTCACAACGCCAAGATCAAGGGTCACATGCTCCAATGACTGAGCCAGCCAGGTGCCCCAAAATGTCACTTTCTAATACACTATGTAAGTTGCCTATTTATCTTATTGTCTGTGTATTCTTTCTAGAATAAAAGTTTTATTAGGTGGGGATTTATATCTATTTTTTTTTAACAAAGAGTAATCAAAAGATTTATTATCTGAGTGACTGGAAAACAGTGAATAGACCTATCCAGGGTAGGAACAAGAAACTGAGATAGTATGTTTACAGAACCAGTCAGGAGGAAGAATAAAATTGCTCTTTTTTTTTTTTAAGTTTTTATTTATTTATTTGACAAAGAGATCACAGGTAGGCAGAGAGGCAGCCAGAGAGAGAAAGGAAGGGAAACAGGCTCCCTGCTGAGCAGAGAGCCCAATGCAGGGCTCGATCCTAGGACCCTGGGATCATGACCTGAGCGGAAGGCAGAGGCTTTAACCCACTAAGCCACCCAGGTGCCCCTAAAATTGCTGTTTTATAACTCTATGGGGCTCCTCTCTTTTAACATGTTATACTACATTTTTAGAGATCAAGTAAGTTTTTTTTTTTTTAAGATTTTATTTATTTATTTGTCAGAGAGAGTGAGGCAGGCAGACAGAGTGGCAGGCAGAGGCAGAGGGAGAAGCAGGCTCCCTGCTGAGCAAGGAGCACGATGCCCAGTCCCAGGGAAGATACTGTAAAATCTAATCAATCCCAGGACGCTGGGATCATGACCTGAGCAGAAGGCAGCCGCCTAGCCAACTGAGCCACCCAGGTGTCCCTCAACTAAATTTTTAAGTAAAGTAAATCTAAAGATTTTATAATTTCACATTTATACAGCTTGATATCCTTTATTTATCTATCATTCTTAAAGCAAATGACAAATCTAGTTTTCAAAGATGAAAGCTTGCTGTTACTGAGATCTTCAATGTTTTCTGCAACTCCAAATCCAGGAATGTTTCACACAATCACGGGACTTTCCTTTTTAAGGTGATTACTCTTTTTTTTTTATATATAAAGATTTTATTTATTTGACAGCAGAGATCACAAGTAGGCAGAGAGGCAGGCAGAGAGAGAGAGAGGCGGAAGCAGGCTCCCCACTGAGCAGAGAGCCATGCGGGGCTCAATCCCAGGACCCTGAGATCCTGACCTGAGCCAAAGGCAGAGGGTTTAACCCACTGAGCCCCCCAGGCCCCCTAAGGTGATTACTCTTAATGTATACACATATACTCATTTGCGTATGCTTGCCATACAGTGCACTTACAGACAGTCACTAACCTCCTAACTGATGAAGCAGGAGTCAAGTCGTTCACATGACTTCTAGTTATATCTCTTCTAAGACGCTCCAAGAGCAAATTAATGAATCTATGACATTTACTGAAAAGAAAAAGAGAAAAGCAAAAAGAAAAAGAAAAAGAAACATCCTTCATGGTCTTTCATTCATTTCATCAATTAGGACACACAGGGCAGCATCTTTCTCCATAACCTGGTCTCTCCCATGACCTGAATTTTCTCTTTGCTGTTCATTCTGTCCAGTACAATTGTTGCTATCATCAGCATCCATTGGTTCAGTCTTTACTCTCATCCCTGCTTCTGAATGAGGCGGATCATCAGGCAAAGCCAGGCAATTCTGAATCATCTCAATGACTTGCTCCAGGTGCTTCTGAAATCTCTCAGCTGTTTCAAGACATTGACCTTTCGGTACCTCCAGCATGACTCTCAATGTCTCTCTTGCTTGGTGGGGTCGGTATTCATTTATGAGATGATACACATGTACAAAAAGCAGCTTAATATCTTCTGGTTTCTCTTCTGGTTTTGTACTCCCAGGGCTCCTTATCAAGATACCTAAGAGGTCTAAGAAATTAATAATGGCTCAGTGGGTTAAGCCTCTGCCTTCAGCTCAGGTGATGATCCCAGGGTCCTAGGATCAAGCCCTGCATCGGGCTGTCTGCTCAGCAGGGAGCCTGCTTCATCCTCTCTCTCTGCCTGCCTCTCTGCCTACTTGTGATCTCTGTCTGTCAAATAAATAAAATCTTTAAAAAAAAAAAAGAAATTAATAAGAATAGACATATTGAGTTTTCTCAGTTCCTTCTTGTGATCAAACTGCATAGGATGAAGCCATTTGATGCCCTGACTTTCTGAAGGGCGGATGATAAGATCATCACATTGGAATTGATTGCCAAACATCATATAAGTGTCCTTTATTGGAGGTGGAGGCTTGGGAACTAGGCCTTCCTGAGTATTTTCATCTGTATATTCCTTGACGTACTGCATTGGGGACGGTGGAAGAGCACTCACATGTTGCGTCTCACCCATAGTGGAAGATCAAGAAACTCAGCTCAGGGTTTACACTGGAGCCGCCTTGGCCTGCGCCGGAAATCCGACTTCTGGCCACCTCCTACAGGAAGTGTATCTATTTTTCTAATTAAGAGATACTGCTTCAAGGGCGCCTGGGTGGCTCAGTGGGTTAAAGCCTCTGCTTCCGGCTTAGGTCATGGTCTCAGGGTCCTGGGATCAAGCCCCGAATCTGGCTCTCTGCTCAGCGGGAAGCCTGGTTGCCCCACCATCTTCTGCCTGCCTCTCTGCCTACTTGTGATCTCTTTCTTTCCGTCAAATAAGTAACTAAAATCTTTAAGAAAAAAAGAAGTACTGCATCAAACAGCCTCTGGTCATAGCAGGAGCTCAATAAGTATTTGTTGGATGGATGGTCTTCGGATCCATCACCATGTTGGTCTGACATTTACGAACATGCTCGTTTGGCACTGTTCCTCTACAACTATTAGAATATGTTCTAGACAAGTTCTCCTTTGTTCAAAGCCTCAAAGCCTGGCATTTTATGGTGCAGCCCAGCAAGTTCGGCCCGTTTGGCAGGCAATTACCTGGCTATTTTGTGTCTCCCTATCCAGCACCATGTACTTCCCTGAAGAAAAAAATAAATCCATAATCAGTCAACTTCACGGAGCTGAGGATATGTGCCTCATCTCTAATAATGGAATCACACGTTTCAAAGGAAATGGAGAAAAAAAGACATTGGCCATTAGGTTGGGAAACCTCTTTTAAGACATGGGTGCCCATCCTGAACTCCCAAATTTTCCAGCTTTAGAGACTAATAGGAGTTTAAGCCTCTTCTGTGGCATCAAGTAGCACTGAGACTTTCCTCAAACCAAAGAATTTAACCGAACTTATTAAGTTTTAATTTAAGAATTGAACCGAACAGGGGCCCCTGGGTGGTTCAGTGGGTTAAAGCTTCTTTCTGCCTTTGGCTTAGGTCATGATCCCAGGGTCCTGGGATCGAGATTAGAGCTTCTCATTGGGCTCTCTGCTCAGCAGGGAGCCTGCTTCCTCCTCTCTCTGCCTGCCTCTCTGCCTACTTGTGATCTCTGTCTGTCAAATAAATAAATAAAAATCTTAAAAAAAAAAAAAGAATTAAACCGGACAATTTAAGAGTTGTCCTAAGGATTGAGAGAATTATGTATAAGCCTATAACAGACCTTAATAAATGCTATCATTCTTATAACCCTTGCCCCTTTGCCAAGAGCTTATTTTTTTGTGGTAACACCTTACAACAAAAAGGGTATCTGTCCTTTTGTGTCTGGCTTATTTCACTTTGCATAATATTTTCATTATGGTTGATCATGTTGTAGACAATTGTATTTTTGAGTTGTATTTTTTCTCATGAGCGAGAAATTTTGCAATATATAATTTTTTTATATGATGAAGAGCGATTTGAATCTTTTCCTGTGATCCAACAATTCATGTCATGTGTGCGTGCTTTCCTCCTCTACGTTTATTCACATATTTGTGTACATTAGCAGCATTTTAAGTTATTTTCACATAGATCTTGTACAGATGTGTTAAATAAAACTGGTTATTTAAATTGGCTTGGGGGAAACCCCAATACTTGAACATAGGTAGCGTCATTTCTAAATTAAAGTCGTCCTCTCAATTTCTAAAATCTAAGTTGCATTAAAATTCCACAAGGAGGCAGACTGGTTCCATTAAACTGGGCTTACTGCACTGATGTAAATACATTCTAGATATTCCCAGTATTGGCATCCCCAAGTATAAAACAACTTTTTAAGCCAACATAGGGAATCTATGAAGGTATTTTCTCCCAGAGACAACTCTACAAATGATGCTTAATTTTATAAATCAGTTCACAAATCTTCCCATTAAATTAGGTGTAACAGAATCATAGAATTTTACATTTAAACCAAATACAAGAAATAATTTATTTAATTACAGAATTCTGCCCAAGTGCAGATATCTTTACTCTTGGTTTACAAAAACCCATGGCAGTGGGAATTTAAAATGATGTAGTTGTTGCAGAAAAAGGTATGACAGCTCTTCAAAATATTGAACATCTAATGATTCAAAAATTCCACTTCTGGGTATATATGAAAAGAAGTGAAGCATAGACCTAAACAGGTATTTGTACACCAGCGTTCATAGCAGCATTATTCACAGTGTCAAAATGTGGAAGCGACCCTTCTATATCATTGAATGAATGGATCAGTAGAATGTGGTAGACATGTGCAAGAGAATATTCAGCCTTAAAAAGGAAGGGAATTCTGACACACTCTGCAACACAGATGAACCTTAAAGATATTATACTAAGCGAAATAAGCCAGACTCAAAGGACACATATTACATGATTTCCTTTTTTTTTTTTTTTAATTTTGTTTATTTATTTGACACAGAGAGAGATCACAAGTAGGCAGAGAGGCAGGCAGAGAGAGAGAGGAGGAAGCAGGCTCCCTGCTGAGCAGAGAGCCCGATGCAGGCCTCGATCCCAGGACCCTGGGACCATGACCTGAGCCGAAGGCAGAGGCTTTAACCCACTGAGCCACCCAGGCGCCCACATGATTTCCTTTTATATGGTATACCTAGAATAGTTAAGCACATAGAGACAGAAAGTAGGACAGTGGTTACCAGGGGTAGGGGAAGGGGGACTAGGGAATTATTGTTTAGTGAGTACAGACATTCAGTATGGGAGGATGAAAAAGTTCTGGAGACTTCACAACAGAGGGAGCATACTTAATGCCACTGAACCATCCACATAAAAATGGTTGAAGTGGGGTGCCTGGGTGGCTCAGTCATTAAGCGTCTGCCTTTGGCTCAGCTCGTGATCCTGGGGTGCTGGGATTGAATCCTGCATCGGGCTCTCTGCTCAGTGGGGAGCCTGCTTCTTCCTCTCCCGCTCCCCTTGTTTGTGTTCCCTCTCTTGCTGCCTCTCTGTCAAATAAATAAATAAAATCTTAAAGAAAAAATGGTTGAAGTGGTACCATTTGTTAGGTATTTTTTTTTTAAACCACAATTAAAAAAAGACATGGTAAAGAAAATTAAATTCAAATAGAGAAATTTATAAATACTAAAATTCCCACTTTACTGTATGTACTTCCAAAATCTATAAATATCCATCTGCACCCTTGTGTAAATAAATAACTTGATATTTTAAATTGTATACGAAGTCAAGAGAGAAAATCTACCTCCTTCTTGTCCTGGGGGAAAAAAAAAACTGGGGGCAACGGTGGGGGGGGTGCTCAGTCGGGGGAGCGTGCAACTCTTGATCTCAGAGTTGTAGGTTCGAGCCCCACATTGAGTTTAGAGATTACTTAAAAATAAAATCTTTATAAAAAAATGTTTAACATACAGGAAAATTTACTTTTAACATTTTGAGAATTCTATGAATTTTAACACATATATAGGTTTGTGTATCTATCATAAGAATCAGGCTGTAGACCGGTTCTGTCCCTTCAAAAAACTGTTTGTGCTAAAACCTCAGAGTCACACCTACCCCAACACTAACTTGGGGAAACTACTGATCTCTTCTCCTTATCTTACTATCTTTTCTAGAATGTCATGTAAATGGTAACAACCAATATGTAGCCTTCTGTATCTTTCTTTTTCTGCTTAGCATAATGCCTTTCAAGGTCATGGAAGCTGCTGCCTGTATCAATTGTTAATTCTTTTTAATACTGAGTAGTATTGCATTGAACAAAGACACCACAGTATTGTTTAGGCATTCAACTCTTGAGGGACATTAAGGTGGTTTTCTGTTTCTTGCAATTATGAATAGAACTGCTATATAGGCTTTTTGTGTAAATACAAGTTTCAGTTACTCTGGGGTAAATACACAGGAGAGGGATTGCTGGGTCATAACATAGGTGCATGTTTACTTTCAAAACAATTGCTAAAGGGGTTTCTATGGTGGCCTTACCATTTTGCATTACCCACCAGCAATGTATGAAAGTTCCAGTTGTTCTATATCTTTGCCAGTAATTGATATTGCTGGCATAAATAAAATAAAAATAATTGTACGTACTTGAAAGTCAGCATTTTTAAAAAATATATTTTTTAAAAAATTGTAAGTGAACTCTATGCCACATGTGGGGGTCAAACTCACAGCCTTGTGATCAGGAGTCACATGCTCTACTGACTGAGCCAGCTGGGTGCTCCACTAGTATTTTTATGTTAGACATTCTAGTAGTGGGTGAGTAGTGTTATCTGATCATGTTTTTTTTTTTTAATTTTATTTATTTATTTGAGAGAGAGAGAGAGAGATCATGAGCAGGCGGAGGGGGAAGAGAAGGGCCAGAGGGAGAGAAACAGATTCCCCGCTGAGTGCAGAGCCCAAATGGGATCATGACCTGAGCTGAAGTCCGATGCCCAACCGACTAAGCCACCCAAGCTCCCCTCTCATCATGGTTTGTTTTTAAATCATTTTAAAAAGTTGTGTGCCATGGATCTTCAAAAGGAATATTTGATAAGATATATTGCATTTCTGTTTCTCAGTCAATTTTCTTTCTTCAACTTAGTATACAGCATTTATGGTTTTATTTCTAGTTTTTTCTAGATATAAAAACCTCGTGTTTCTTAAGCTTTGCCATTAGAAATATGTTACTCCTTTCAAAACTCAGTAAGACCTTCCTCCAAAAAACCAACAACATTTCAAATGTTGGTTCTATCCCTAACATGATTTACTAATTTGTATATGATACTTCCATAATTGGGAGATACCACCCATGACAGAAGGATGTCCACGTGTGGGACACTCTCCCAAGTAGTACCAGAGAGATGAGTAAGATAGACTATGGCTTCCCATACTTCCCAGTGCTGTATATACTAAATTACTAAATTACTAAATGTACTAAATTACTAAATGTAATTTCGTAATGTTATAGGATTGACTATGAAGCCACCCCAATTTGTAGTTAAAACCTGAAAACAAATTTTCTAGGCTGAGATAATTTTATTGATGAATTCTTCCAACTATTTAAAGAATAATACCAATAGTAAGTGATCTCTCTTAAGAA